AAACACTTGTGATCCCTATAACTGGTCAAACAAGTCATCAATACGAGGTAAAGGATATTTATTCTTTATTGTCACCCTGTTCAATTCTCAATAGTCAATACACAAGCGTAGAGTTCTGTCTTTTTTCTTTACAAGTAACACCGGTGCACCCCACAGTGAAGTACTAGGTCGGATAAACCCTTTGTCCAGTAAGTCTTTCAATTTCTCCTTTAATTATTTCATTTTAGCAGTAGCCATTCTGTAGGGAGTTTTAGAAATAGGCTGAGTGCCTGACACAACTTCAATAGTAAACTCTATCTCCATGTCCACTAACTCGCCTGGTAATTCATTTGGAAACACATTTGGAAATTCTCTAACAATAGGGATACTGTTCAATTCTACATTCACAGATTGTTTGGATAGCACACAACACAAATAACCCTGGCACCCTTTCTTGATCAATTTACATGCTTTCATTACAGATTTCAAATAAGGTGGAGGTACTACCTCGTTACCCACAAACACAATTTCTTCTTGTTTCGGTGGTTTAAATACTACCCAGTTCATTACACAATCAATGGTGGCACAGTATTTAGTTAACCAATCCATGCCCAGAATGACATCAAAATGCCTAAAGTCCAAGGGTAATAAATCTACATACAAAACAGCATTCCCAACATGCATGTCACAAAATCGATATATCGATGTACATAACACAGATTCCCCTGATGGAGCACATACACATAGCAAATATGGCAATGATTCTAGAGGTCTACTCAGTCTAGATGCAAATGCACAAGTTATGAAAGAGTGCGTTGATTCGGAGTCAATTAACACAAAAGCATCCTAATTGCATATAGAAATAGTACCTGAGACAACGGCTTCGGTATTCCGTGTATTGCCCAGAACAAGCGCAAAAACTCTTCCTTGCCTCACGGCATCTCCGGCGGTAGTAGATCTCGTGGTGTTTCCCGGTTTTGGGATTGATGCAATTGAGCCAGCAACTAACTTTCCACTATTCTGATTACAATCTCTAGCCATATGCCCCGTTTTACCACATTTAAAACAAGCTCCTGACACACGATAACAAACTCCACGATGCCTTTTACTACAAATATTGCATATTGGAGATGTGTCTCGGGAAGAATTAGAAGTACTTGAGGAGCACGTATTCAGCTTCTTTGAAAATTTCTTCTTCGAAAAGAAGCCTTGTCTTTTACTACCTTTCCAGTCAGTTGTTAATTTGGTCTCTGTAGCTATGTTAGCTTCTAATATTATGGCCCGGTCTAGCACTCCAATATAGGTTTCCAGCTTCAAGACATTCACCATTTCTAAAATATCACTTCGAAGCCCACCTTCAAAATGCCTTGTTTTTTTTGTAGTCGGTATCAATCACATGTGGTGCAAACCTGGCCAGCTCAGTGAATTTGGCCTCATACTCAGCTATTGTCATGCTGTCTTATTTAAGTTCCATGAACTCCGATACTTTCCTATCACGGACACATTGTGGAAAGTACTTGTCATAGAAAATTTTCAAGAATTGCATCCAACCAATGTCTTTATGATTCTCACGCATTAACATCCACCATCTTCTTGCTTCATCTTCTAGCATAAAGGTGGCTAGGAGTACCTTTTGTGTCTCTGAACAAGGAAACACTTCAAATAGTTTTTCGATGTTGAGAACCAATGCTTCGACCTTTAATGGATCCAATCCGTCGTGAAACTGTGGTGGTTTCATTTTCTTAAACTCTTTGGTGAGAGTTATTGTTTGGTCATCATTCTGTAGATCTGGCACAGGTGGTGCCGAAGGTGGAGGTGGAGGATGTAGTTGCTGCCACTGCTGTTGCCACTATTGTTGTTGCCTCAATGTTTCTGCCATTTTCGGAATCAATCTTTCCATCCTATCCATTTTGGCAGTAGAAGATTCCTCTATCTCATCACTTCTTGTTCTCACCATCTGATTACACTTGCATTATTCTTTATACAAAAGTTTCACAAGTATACATATACACACATTCAAATAATTCGCAATGCAAGTAAATTCCAAACATACAACACATAATCACTTATTTCGAGATATCCCAGCATGTTCTTAATGCTTTCAGATTCAAACTTATCACATGAATGCATCCTAGATCTTTTCTAGATGCTAATTGCTCATTCGGACAAGTGTGTGAGTTATTAACTCGTGCTCTGATACCACTCTGTCATGACCCGAACCCGCCCCATTGGATTAAGGTCATAACCAGCCAGTAATCAAGGGATTACCTACGGCCTTAAACCAAATAAACATATATTATCAGAGTTAAGGGCCCAAACGGAAGCAAACTTAAAAATTGTCCATAGAGTAGTGCTTACATGGTACATCAAACGTATCAAACATATGTACTCATTAATAACTTACACCAAAAGGAAAATAACTTAAAGTTTTATACACACAGGATCATTCAAGTCTTAGTCAGCCAAGCCAAAACTTATATAGAAAGGTGATCCAACGTTTTTGCTAACATTGCAAAATTTATGACATAGCAAAAGAACAAAAGGGCAAAAACGAGTCTTGTGCGTGAGACGTTTGAGCTGACTCCTCAAAACTTGACTGTTTCTCACATACTTTACCGGGGTTGGGTTTGGACATCTCTTGGCTCACCTACATACACATGAATGATAGTGAGTGAAGGCCCAGTGAATAATATCAAACAAAGAAGATACATTAACGAAATTCAAAATACATATATCGGACGGCCTTGGGCCCAATTCATGTTTCTATTTAGTGTATCAAACAACTACAAATCTAGACGTATCAAATGGCCTCAAGCCTAATTTATTCGTATCAAACGGCCTTTGGCCCAATCATTCGTGTCAAACAGCCTTTGGCCCAATCATTCATATTCAACGGCCTTTGGCCCAATCATTCGGCATAACAAATATTGTCCACCTTTCAAATTAACAAGCTTGTGAAACTCAAATAAGAGTAAACAATTGGACAAATCACATACTTCAGATATCTTTATTAAGATATTACTCACAATGTTCTGTTGGTGGATTCGTCCTTGTGCTCGACCCTACATAATACATAACACATATCTGGTCACAAACGATTCAATCCGTTCTTAACTTATACATTCCTCTTAGGCCTCTTTCTTATCTTCTTAATCCATTTACAATGTTCAATGTATGCCTATGAGTGTTTAGAAATGAAAGAGAACGGAAAACAAAACTTAGAATCATTTTTACAAAATTTCTGAAACAGGGCTCCCTGCTCGAGCGCGGTTTATACCGCTCGAGCGGACCTGTTAGGTCTGCAAAAGTACTAGTTGCCTCATATTTACGCTCAAGCGTGACTTTGGACACTCGAGCTAGAAGTCAAATTTCGTGGCTTGACGCTCAAGCGTGAATATCCCTGCTCGAGCGGACATCAATGTCTGCAAAAATTCTAGGAACTAACATTTCACGCTCGAGCGGCCCTTTTCCCGCTCGAGCGGACATGCCAAATTCTGTAATTTCTAGAATTGTTCTTGAAGCTCAAACTTGATATTCAAAGGCCCAAAACTCATGGTTTTGGTTAAAAAATGTGGGAACACATTATATTATCATAAGGATGCAAACAATATGAGGCCAATTGTTCAAAATCAAGTTTAATCATCCAATTCCATGTTCATAATTTTGAAGCTCATGCATGTATGATCTTACATAGGTTTATCATCTTCAAAACTTGTAGTTGAGTCCCATAACCCCATTTTTCATGGATGCATGCCTAAGATGACCTCCAATTCAACTCATTCAACATGTCTCATACACAAACATGAAGACTCATAACAAATTGTTACATGCATGCACACATTGATCTCAAGTCCATCATGATCAACATGATTTACATTCAAATATGCAACTATATGGAAATTTCTTACATGCATGTATTCTTTGACTTCAAATACATCAAATTCAACTAAATTCTTGCTCTTGGTCACATAACAAGCTAGAATTCATGCAAGGATGAACTTAAACTCATGAATTTACTCACCTAAGAGCTCCAATCTCCACAATTGTAGCTAAATCTTGAGTGTAGCTTCCAAATTCATGAACTTTGAGCCAAAATACACAATCCTCCCTCTTCCTCTCTCTAGAGCCTGCCCTCTCTCTCTCTCTAGAGTGTATAACCAGATTTTTGAGTTCACAAAATGAAGAGTTTAAGTGTGATAAGGCCCTTATATATGTTTGCCTAATCAAATTTGATTAGGCTAAGCAATTAAGGTTAATTTAATCGTTCTGAATCTAATTATTTTGATCCGAATCAATTTTCAATTAAATTTCACCATAGATTCTAAAAATTACGTCAAGCACAATGGCGTAGTCAACTTCGTTTTCTTTAGCCGATAAGGCCTTCAATTTTCAGTTCCTAACAGTAAGTTGAACAGATTTTTCTACGGTGAACAGATAGAAATTCAAAATCACATATAACCATGTACATGACACTCAAAATCATATTAAACACATAATCATAATCATAATTAAGATCAATTAGCATAATACGGAACATGGTTATCACACCTTTCCCCTTAGATTAGGCTAGTGTAGGTTCTAACGAATGAAAAAAGAAAAGAAAAATGAGAAGAAGAAAAAGATGAAAAAAAGAAGAAGAAGCAATATTTGGAAAATAGTTGCGAGGATACAATATGTATCATGTTTTATGATGGAGAATTACGGTGACCAAATTTTTCAATGTGGTGAATTTTTTGTTTAAATGGGTGGCCCATGGTCTAAAAGAGTTGCTTATGTTTCACTAGGCTATTTGTTTACAAGTTGTACGTGGTGTATGTTGAGATTCACAAGGCTACTACTAAACGTTCATTGTTTCTAAATTATGCTCAACTTTCAACGAGGTGTTTTAGTTGCTTCAAGTTAAAATATGTATAGTTTTCAAGTTTACTCAACCAAGTTGCTGAATTGGGAATGGATACAGGCATGAATTACGATGTTAAAGGCTTGATATAATAATGATCTCATTGCATTTCTTGATGTAGGTTGCTCAAAGGATTGGAGTGCAGGTTTGAATAAGACGACGACTGTTCCCTTGCAACAACTTGACGAGTGCTTTCTTTCATTGTATATAGAGAGGCTTCTCATCTAGTCTCTCTTCCTAACCAGTCGTATATATTCTGCTCTTCTGTAATTTGTATGACGGAGATTAGAGATGAGGGAACATAGTTATTTTAACTGTAGAATAAATGGCAATAAAAGAACATTTGTAGTGAGATTTTTTTTTTAGTGTGAAAATCTTTTTATTGTTCCATGTAAAAATGATATTCTATATATATACACTAATAGTCTATACACGTGTGCAATTAAAATAAATAAATAAATAAATAACAGTATAAGAATAATGACAAAGAAGAATGCACGCAAATTATGTGTTGCTTAAGTGGTAAGAGTGTTATTTTTTTTTTTTAATGATCTTAATTTCAAGTGTTGTTATGATCTTAACATTAATTTTACACAAACACCAACTATAGGGTATTTTAGGAAAACTTGAAATATGAGACATTTTGTGTCAATACCATCTTATTAAGGATTCACATATATAAATAAATAAATAAATGAAAGTTTCTTCTTTTGCAAAATAACTTTAATTAGATATATGATTAATGTACACATAAGTATCTCAAAGACTTCTATCACTCATAAGGGCCTCAATAGCCCACAGATGAGGGGTGGTGTCCCACTTGCAACAATCTCCTAGGGCATAAACAATCTCAGATTTGAGCATAAGCCAAGTCATGCACATCATACCTTGTTCATCAAATAGTGTGGAGATAAGATCACTGTACGTATTGTTTATGTGGATGACATTGTAGTGGCATGCAATGATGAAGAAGAAATGTCCAAAATCAAAGCTTAACTTTCTAGGGAATTTGAAATTAAAGATCTTGGACCTTTACGCTACTTTATTGGAATTGAGATTGCTAGATCAAGGGCATCTTCATTTCTCAAAGGAAGTACATCTTGGATTTGCTTGAGCATGTTGGGATGTAGACCTGCTGATTCTTTTATTGAGGCTCAGTAGTAGTGACAGAGAACATGTGGACAAGGGGAGGTATCAACAGCTTGTGGGAAGATTGATATATTTTTCTCATATCAAGCCAAATATTGCATATGCAGTTGGTGTTGTTAGCCAATACATGCATGATCCTCGGACGGGACATTTGGATGCAGTTCATCGGATCTTAAGATATCTCAAATCAACGGCTAGAAAAGGCATCTTGTTCTTCAATCATGGTCATTTAAGATTAGAGGCCTTCACTGATGCAGATTGGGCTGGTGCTATTGATGATAGGAGGTCTACTTCCAGCTACTGTACATTTGTTGGAGGAAATTTGGTTACATGGCAGAGTAAGAAGCAGTTAGTTGCCACTAGATCGAGTGCAAAAGCAGAGTATTGAGCCATAACGCATGGCATTTGTGAGTTGATGTGGCTTCAAGTTTTGTTGGATGATTTAGGATTGTTACGTGGTGGTCCCATGCTATTGTATTGTGATAATAAGGCTACTATTAACATTGCTCATATCCGGTTCAACATGATAGAACTAAGCACAATGAGATTGGTCGACATTTCATTAGAGAGAAAGTGACTGGTGGACTTATTTGTTTGTCGTTTGTCAAATCAGAAGATTAGTTAGGTCATGTGTTTAGGAAGTAAAGTGTTTCATCCTATTATATGCAAGTTAGGCATGAGAAATATCTATGCACCTACTTGAGGGGGAGTGTTAAGTTATTTGCTTGAGGGTATTATTGTACTTGTACTTATTCCCTTGTTATTATGAATACATGTGTTTAGAGGAGTAAGAAACCACATGAGGTTTTGTCCCTCTTCCAGCAAATCTCTTCTCTCTCTCTCTCTCTCTCTCTCTGTCTCTGTCTCTGTAGTAATACAGAATTTTTCCCCCCGCTCGAGCAAGGGAGTTGACGCTCGAGCGGACTTGTGAGGCTTCCAGTACTTTTACAGTCTATCTGAGATTCAGAGAGTTGTGAATTTTCGCTCGAGCGTAGGAGTGGTCACTCGAGCGGCCGGTTTTGTTGGTCTGCGGGCTCGAGCGCAAGATTGGGGGCTCGAGCGGTCTACCTGGTTGAGTTTAAATTTCTGGGCTAGTGGGATTGTTTTTTACCTTTTATTATTGTGTTTGGAGCCTCCCTATTTTATTTTGGGTCATTGATCGAAGTGGTAACATGATGATAAAGTAAGATTGGACCAAAAATTTTAATTCGGATAATCTTCCTACGAACAGTTATCACTCTTTTGCTCTTTTCTTTTTTCACACTTTGAATTTGGGTGTGAGGCTAGAACCATTGGAAATCTTGTCTCCGGGGCTTCGATTTGGACACAAGAACGACCTAAAATGGAGTCTGGATGGGAGAGTTATACCCGTTTGAAGTTTTAGTATCTGTGCTGGAAGCAGGTACGCTCGAGCGGACTTCGCGAATTCAACAACTCAAAAAGTGATTTTTTAGATCATTCTGTCCACTTTTCTTTTCTCTCTTCCTTCCTCTCACCCTAGGTCTGAAAACCCTTGATCTCTTGACCTAAATACCTTCCATTCATCAAAGATTTGGCCAAGATCTCTCACCAAAAAGTGAAGAATGCTTGAAGATCTTACTTTTCAACCGATTGAAGTTTGGATTTGTGAAGGAATCTCAACAAAGCTTTGCTCTTTTGCTTGAATCTTGAGGTAGGAGTCCTAGTTCTTCTTCAATACTTGCATTTATAGATAGATTTGTGGTATTTTGATTATATAAATACAAAATCTTCATTTTTGAGCATATAGTGTTATATCATGAAATTTGGGAGTTTAGGGTTTGAAGTGTTGGGGTTCAATTGTTGGGTTAAGATTGTGGATTATGAATCTTAGATGTATAACCAATGAGAAATTTGGAATAAAAAGTGGTGGTGTGAGAAGTTTTAATTTTTCTTGAAAACCCTAAGTTGATTCATGATGATAATTAATGATTTTGCCCAAATTGAAAGTAGAATCATGAAATTGAGAGGTTGAATTGTATATATACAAGCTTAATTGAATTTTGGAAGTGTTTGAAAATTATGTTAAAAATTAGCGATTGAACCTTTATTATGGATATTGTAAATCATGCTATAATATGAAATAAAATTTGGGGAAAAAGATTCGTTAATGATATGGATGGCATGAGACTTGGGATGAAAAGATGAAATGGGGATTTAAGAGTTCACTTTGAATTATGTTGAATTATATTTAGTGGTGTTGAATTGAATCATGTTGAATAGTGTTGATCATGTTGAATAGTGTTGATTATGTTGAATTGTGTTGAATTGAGTTGAGTTGTGTTGGGTTGTATTGAGTTTGGGTTGATATTAGAAAAAAAAAAAGTAGAAGGGAGTTTTGCCCTAATTGGATCAAATTGTTATTTTGTATAAATAATTGAAATTGTCATTGTAAATGTGAAATCAGAGGATTATTGTTGATGATGGTGGAGATTGATATGCATTATCACTCCCATATGAGATTTTGGAAAAATGTATCTTTAAAGGAATTTATTTATCGGTTTAGATATATTTGTTTTGGGTTATCGGTGGAGGATAGCTATGATTGTTGTAGAAATTGCATGTTCACTAGGCAAACCGAACAATTTATAAATTATGCATATCATAGAGCATGCAATGGATTTTGAGGATTTAAACTGTACGTTTTGGAAAGTGATTTTGGAAATTCTTGTGTTATGTTTTAAGTGCACTTGTTTCATTTTGAAAATCATATTTTGGATCACATGTATTGTGCTAGTTGAAAAGAGTAAATAATATGATAAGTCTGAGAAATGGTTGCCATTGAATATGACTGTGTGTTTCAATACATTATATATGTATGATTGTTTGGGAGGAGAAAGGGGATGTACACCATGTGTGATTATGTGATTAAATTCATTGTATATGTATGTTTGTTTGGGAGGAGAAAGAGGATGGACTCCACTGTTTAGGAGGAGAAAGGGGATGAACTCCATTATAACTAAGTTCACCGAAGTGTCTTGGGTGAAAGTCCCGAAATTTATACATGGGTGCCGATCCCGCGGACAAAATATCCGTAAAATGGCAATTTGAAGTGTTTATGTGTGTTTTGTATGATTGGAAAACCACTGAGTCGTAGTCTCAGTTTCGTTGTTGTGAAATAATGAAATTGACTCATGAATTGAGAAGAATAAATGAATTGAAAATGAACTGAAGGACAATGGATTAAGGATTGAAATTGGCATCATGTGGGTAACTGGACTAGGGGCTAGTGATGATAAACTCAATGGATTGCTTGTGACAAAAAGGAAGATTATGAGTTTTGTTTTGTAAGTAATTGGGAAATTGAATTAAAAAGAGGTTTGTAATTCTTGTGCTATGTTGAACTCTAATCCTTTGGATTTTGATGTTATGAAGTATGGTAATTGGAAATGGAAATGAAATGTGTAATATTATAATGGAAATGAAATGTGGAATATTAAAATGGAAACGAAATGAGAAATAATTTGGAATCGGGTTGATAAATTTAAGGCGATGTTCTTCCTTAAGTATACTTGTTTTCAAAGTGAATTTATGGCTTCCTACTGATGAGATACTACATTTCTGGCAGAGAGTTTTCTTAAAGGTTCAAGTGAAATTTTAAGAAAAAGTACTTTTCGTATAATATTTTGAACTTACAAAATGTCACCTTACTATGTGGTATCACTCTGCATGCATGATCATTTTTATTTGTGTTAGCTATTGTTGTAGAACTATGAGATTCCTACTGGGCATTAGTGCTCACTCCTCGTTGTTTTAAGTCTCAGTTTCGTTGTTGTGAAATAATGAAATTGACTCATGAATTGAGAAGAATAAATGAATTGAAAATGAACTGAAGGACAATGGATTAAGGATTGAAATTGGCATCATGTGGGTAATTGGACTAGGGGCTAGTGATGATAAACTCAATGGATTGCTTGTGACAAAAAGGAAGATTATGAGTTTTGTTTTGTAAGTAATTGGGAAATTGAATTAAAAAGAGGTTTGTAATTCTTGTGCTATGTTGAACTCTAATCCTTTGGATTTTGATGTTATGAAGTATGGTAATTGGAAATGGAAATGAAATGTGTAATATTAGAATGGAAATGAAATGTGGAATATTAAAATGGAAACGAAATAAGAAATAATTTGGAATCGGGTTGATAAATTTAAGACGATGTTCTTCCTTAAGTGTACTTGTTTTCAAAGCGAATTTATGGCTTCCTAATGATGAGATACTACATTTCTGGCAGAG